TATATTCTTTTATATATATATATATATATATATATATATATATATATATATGAGAAGATGGTGAGAAAAAAGAGAGCTATGCCACGTCATTCCGCTTTCATTTGTCACAGTTTTCAGAAGCTTCTCTTTTCTACGTTTTTTTTTCTATGCATTCATTATTTCATTCGCCAAAAACATATTCCATATAAGCTCTTTAACGTTTTTTGAATTTTTACATACCAATATACACATAAAATGTAAATATCAACAATAAAATCGATAAATTATAATTATAATTTATAAAAAACTTGAATGAAAATGACAAACAAAATAAAAAAATTGTAGAAAAAAATATTGAATTTGTCATCCGATAAACTTTCATAATTTAGATGTGCCGAAGATATTACTGTACGTTTTAAAATATATATAGTAACTTTTTCTACTTATGTGACATTGAATAAATTCAAGATAGCTTTCCAAGTATCACTATTTTATTTACTGCAAGGAATCCCAATAAATTAAAAATCTCTACGTATATATAATTATCTTCACGAGAATATAATTCGACTTCATTAAATCATCATACTATTTTTTTTTTCACGAGAGAAAAATAATAATGGGAATATGCAAACGGGAGGCAGAAGAGAATAAAGGAAAAGGGCAAAACCGTCATTTCAGCATGGGTAATTTACTCTGGAAACGTTAGTGTCTGCCACTAAGATGTGTTGGGTCGGCCGAAGCCCAGACATGCCTTCATGGCTTTTTGTGGCCTTTTGTCCTTTTGTCTTTTTCTTCTCTTTTTTTTTTTCTCATATTTATTTTATTTATATTTTATACTTTTCCCATTTCGTCTTATTAATTTGGTAATTTTCGTGTTACTTTCTCACGTTTGGTTGAGAATTTTGTTGAATAAGAGAATATACAAATAAATAAAAAAATGATTATTAATTTATGCCAAGTTGTGGCGAGTCGGTCCACTTGTAGCATGCTTTTTCAATTTTTTACGCTCTCTTAGGGGACAAATTAATCTACTTAGAGCGCAATTTCGCTAATTACAGTTTTCGTTTACATTTAGATTATTCTGTTGGTACGAAAAATAACAAAACCGATTCGAAGTCAATATGAAATATTAATTGTTTCTTACATTTATTACAATACAGCCATATAGGTTTTAGAAAAAAAAAATATTTATTATAATAAATTTATAAAATAAATTATGTTACATAAAATTTTAAAATATTCAAGATAACATAGACAATCATTGGTACTATTATCAAGGAGAGGGCTGGCATATTTTGCATTACCATACATTCTTTTTATTAGTCTTTTATATATATATATATATATATATATATATATATATATATATTGGATTACAATTTGTGACGTCTACGAAACAATTACACATCATAAACCTTTCTTAAATAAATAAATTAAAAAAAAAAAGTAAGAGAGTCAGAAAGGTAAAGGTGCGCAGTGCGCACCATGCAAAATTTCATGAGATATGATAGTCTTCTACTCAGTCATAGATCACAACCACATAAAATATAAATAAATAGTTTCTAAATATATGATTTGCTTTTATTAAGTCATAAAAAATTACAACTAATATGATAAATGTTTTGAGTTTGGTTGAGATATTACTAGATTTGGATTTCTAGTTTTTAAATTTTTTTTCTTCTCATAGTTATAGGTTTTTATTCAGTTTTAATTTTTATAATTTTTTAATAATTCTTTTGATTCAATTTGTTTATATTTTTATATTTTTTTTGAATTCAATTAAATTAATTTATTTATAAACCAGTTATCCGGTTTATAAATCCGAAACCAAATCTAAGACTTCTATTAATTGATATCACTTTTTAAAATATCAATTAATAGAAGAAATTTGTCCAACTCAGATATTATAATATGTAATGTAATGTAATCATGTGTCTGTCTCGGAATATTTGCCTGTTGCACGTGAAAAGTTACTTCGAGTATCTAACCCCAAACCCCGAACATTTAATTAATTATTTTTCCTCTCCCCAAAATTAATATATAATTTAGCAAACAAACAGCACAAAGGCTTAGATTTGAGGAGAATAACCATCCGTACGATAAAAATATATCCCAGAATAAAAAAAAGATGGCTCTTCATGAATATTGTTAGATTAAATGCGTAAACCAATCAATCATTTAACATAATTTATGATTTATAGTCCAATTAAAAACTCTGAAAAATATAGATAATCTACCATTATTTGGGTTTAAACATGATTATTGGATTAAAGTCGAAAATTAAAAAAAAAAAACACGCGCGAGAAATTCAACTATTTAAAAAGATTGGGCCTAACAAATATTTTGAATAAGGGCTACATGGGCTTTATCATTGAGCCCATTTATATTGCTTTGGTGTTGAATATTGGATGGGCCGAGCCGATCAATGGAGATTGTTTTGGGTGGCCCATTGTGTTTTCAGATAAGTTATCGGGCTGATAAATTTATTTTTTGTTTTTATTTCAATATTGGACACTGATTTCTATAATATTATGGGCCGAAAGAAGAATCTTACAATTATATATTTTAGTTATCAGATACTAACTAATAAAAAAGACTATTATATGTTTTTTTTTATATTGCTCTAGAAAATGCGGAAATCCTTTTTACTTTCCAATTTTTCTCTACTCCTTGTGTACAGATTCCAGAAGACGGCAAAGTAAACGACAAGCATTCCAAGGTAAAAGAATATGGACGGCAAGCATTCCAGAGGAGAATCTCGGGAGGGTGAAATGTGGGACCCACTGAAAATATGGGCCCACAAGTCGGCAGATTTGTCCGTATTCTCTTCCTCGATTTGTCTATTTGAAACTATTAGTAACCATATATATTGGGTTAGTAATACATTTGTACAGTCGGTCCACAGTCATCACTTTAGAAGACCCTTAAATTAGTGTTAGGAAAAAAATTAGGGCAAATTTCTTTTATGCCATATTTTCCATATGTGAATTGTCTCTATTATCCTTGCCACCTCGTAGTTCGTCCTGAAAGAAAATATGGAAAATTTTGATAGTTATTTTTTTAATTTGGTATTCAGGATAAAATTATATATTTTTTTAGAATATCAAAATTAAATGTTTATTTTATAATTTTCCAAAACAAAAGTTGTTTATCCATTCAAATTTAGATAGAAATTAAGTACCCTAAAAGTTTCCAAATCACTAAAGAGATTCGCCACAGCAGCGAAATCCATAAACACTGCCTTCACTCTTCGTCTTCTCCCTAAACCCACCATTAATGGCTTCCACTTGGCTCTTCTTCTACGCTGCCTTAACTCTCCTTCTCTTCCACTCATCAGGTAATCTTCTTCTTTCACTGTTTGTTTCTTCAATTTTCCTTATTCATCAGTGGAGACTCCCCATTTTCTTCATTCGTCCGTAGCTGCCTCTTCTGTTTTCGATTCCTATTCCAAGATTTTGGATCCTCTGTATTTAGGCTGCATTGTCACCCATCCATTTTCCAGATTTTCTAGGAAACTCCAGTTTTTCCGGGAAAATTCACATCTTACGCATAATAGGGGTTTAATTAAATACAAAACACAACTTGGATTGTGGTATTGCAAACACTTCACGTGGATTTTCTAGCAAACGACTTTCCAGGAAAAAAACGTGTACTTTCTTAAGAGATTTTCCCGGAAAGACTTTGGGAAATACAGAGTTTCTCCAGAAAAATGATCTCTCTCTCTCTCAAACACGCACATAAACGCACAATTTCTACTCGGAATCCCTGATAAACACAGATTTACACAATCTCCACACATTCAAATTACAAAAAAAAATCGAAACTTTTCTCATTTTCCCCAACTGGGCCGTCATCATTCACAGCAGCAACGACGGTGACACTGTACAACAAGTGTACGGAACCGGTATGGCCAGGGATCCAACCGAGCGCAGGGCAAAGGCTAATCGCAGGAGGAGGATTCGAGCTTCTGCGGAACAGAGACTTCAATCTGAAGCTGCCTTCCCTGTGGTCGGGTCGTTTCTGGGGACGCCATGGCTGCGTCTTCGACTGCACCGGACGAGGTGGCTGCGCCACCGGAGACTGCGGTGGCTCGCTTCTCTGCAACGGCCTCGGCGGTTCTCCTCCTGCCACGCTCGCCGAGTTCACTCTCGGCCACGACCTGGACTTTTATGACGTCAGCCTCGTCGACGGGTACCTTTTTTTTTACCCTTTTTGATAAATATGTGTGCAGTTTTTGCATGAAATGAAATGACGGACTAAACAGAGAACGGGGAAAAATTAGGTATGGGCCCACACCTAAAAGACATATTTTACTACAAAAAAATAAATACAAAATGAACAGAATTTAATATAAAAATCGAATAAATAAATAAAATTCGAATTAATGAATAACCAAACCAAATCAGAAATAAAAAAAAATCCATCCTACTAAAAATTCACAATGGAATACATTTTGGCTCTTAATGGTCAAGATAACGTATGGATTTAGCTATGTTTTAACTTGAATCGAAACTAATTTGGTTATAATGCCGATGTATAATACAAGCCAAACCGGAACCAAAAGTAATAATAAAAAGATTTCCGTCTGGTTGTTAATATAAACCGAACCGAAACCAAACCAAATTCGAGTATAACTCGGTTTTATTTCGTAAAACCAAACCAAAACCGGAATAAAGATTTTGTTTTTCTCATTTTTCTCTTATGAAAAAGGTACAACTTGGCGATGTCGATACAACCATACAAAGGCAAAGGATAGTGCAGCTACGCAGGCAGGTTGCGTGAGGGACCTAAACCGGTCAAGGAACCGGAAACAGGTAATAGCCTGTAAGAGCGCATGCTCTGCGTTCATCTCGCCTCGGTATTGTTGCACCGGCTCTTTCGGTAACCCACAGTCATGCAAGCCCACTCCTTACTCCAAGATCTTCAAGGCAGCTTGTCCAAAGGCTTACTCCTACGCCTACGATGATCCCACGAGCATCGCCACGTGTTCCCATGCTAATTACTTGGTCACCTTTTGCCCCCACAATGACCACTGATGATATATAATCATGGCTTTTTACGCAGCCAAAGAACCGTCCAGTCCATCAAGGCTTAGAGAATTTTGAAGCTATGTTGGATAATGATGTTATAAATCTTGTCTTAAGTCTTTACTTGCGATATGTAATGGTGGTGTATGTATGTATGTATCCACTGGACTTTCTGTATAGTAAGTTTTTTCCACGAGACATAAACTTGTATTTAGCATAAGATCTAACGATCTTATATATCAGACACCTTTAAGATTTCTTGGAATGATCTAAGATAGGGCAAACCACTGGTTTATTCTTAACCATATCAGAAACGCCGGTTCAGGCTAGACAATCGCTAAAACTGCTGGTTTAGAATGCAAAAGAACCAAGACCTTCGGTTTAGCCTCGGCTAGAAATCAGTATATACCTCAACAAAATCAACAAAACCGGCTTTTGCCCTAGTTTATGTGTGAATGCATCCACCTCTTTATGTACAGTTTTCTTTTCGTTTTTCCAGCCAAAACTCCATAGAAACAAAGATCCTAAAGCTTTTTTGTTTTATGTGCAACGATGGCGAAACCAAGAATCAGAGGTCTCGAGGGTTACCGCATTGGTAAAGCTTCTTATCCCAGCAGAGTCTGATGGTGTTGTAGATGTGAGAAATGTCGGCCATAGAACCTGTGCTTGAACTCCCAGAAGACATGGGCAGAATGAGGTTGATACCCATTTCCTCCAGAGAAGCTTTGTGTTTTTCTGTGAAAGAGTTACTCCACATCGAAGGGTTCATGGCTGGAGCTACAAAGATTGGCTTCTCATAGTCCCATGCTCTCACAATTGAAGTCAGCAGGTTATCGCAAAATCCTCCGGTAATCTGCAGAGAGTCACTTCCAGTTTATTACTAATGATTCTCGGAGCAAAATCAAGATATCCTGGAGGGAAACAAAAAGAAGAACCCTCCGACCCAATATAGCATTTTCGAGTTCATGGATTGTTCATAAACAACAGGAAAACAGAATGTTACTTCAGTGTGATTTCCTGGTTCAAAAGTCTTCCAGATGTTTTGGTTTTTATCTGCAACTAGACCATCGTCGATTTTCTTGGTTTACAAGTAATCCAGCACCACATAACAAGAACAAAACCTAAGTACCTGTCTAAATCACCGAAACCTAAGTACTGTTTCGGCATCTACAATCACTGGAATGACCTTTTTCACTGCAAAGATATAAAAATAACACAGCAATATCCATTTTTTTTACCTTGGCAAGTGTGTTTGCTGATAAAGGGGCGATAACCATGATATCAGCCCATTTCTGCAAGTCAATGTGGAGGACAGGATCCCCGAGTTTCTTCCAGAAGAACCACTCGTCGTCATCTGTATAAACAAAAACGTCATCTGGGAAATGGGGTTTGCCAATGAACGGTAACGCAGTCTTCGAGACAACAGCTGCTACATCTGTCCATTCCGAGAAGGTGTAACAGAGATGTTCAAACTTCACTGCGGCAACACTTCCACTTGCGGCAAGTAATACGTGAGGTCTCCTTGAATCTTTGTCGCTTGGAAATGTGCGCATATTAAGCTGAATGTCTCCATAGGGTGATGATGAAGATGCCATGGCATGTACCTAAATCCATGCAGTGAAACTCGCATGTCATCATTGATGTTCTTGATTGCTTCAAGAATCAATAACTCATTTGTTCATTCATTCAATGCATGAGTTTTACATACATGAAAAGGGCTCATCGCTTCAGCTAATGAAGCCAAACAGAGTTTTATTCTCGAACAAGAAAAAGAACCCAGAAAATATAAATCAGTGAGATGTGAACATTGACAAGGTAATATCATTATATCAGGTTGCATTCATTCATTGCGTATCGAGAAATCAATTGGATAAAATCGCAAAAGCCCATGAAAAGAAATCATTTTCCCATTTCCCTGTTTGTGAATTTGGACAACTTCAACCAATTTGGAAATAAAGAACGAGAAATCCGGAAGAACAGGATGAATGCATGAACTAAGATGAAAATTAACAACATTATCAAAAAGAAAGATTAGAAATACTAAGGGGATGGATCAAATTCATCGAAAAAAACGAAAAATCAGAGGCAACGACAAAATGCCCAGAAAACCTTGAAGAAATATATGAAACGGTCGTACCTTTTTCGGACTCCAGAAAGAAGACACCGTCGTGCCCTACAGAGAGAGAGAGAGAGGGAGAGAGAGATTTCCAAAGTGTAAATCGTTGACACCGTCGTCTCCGCCGTGCTAATTCCGTCGCCGGCGTGGAGGACACGGAGTCGCACACGGGAGGAGTGGAGAGGAAGCTTCTTACTGCAATTGTGACTTGTGAGGGCCTCGTTTGAAAGTGTTTGATTTGATTAATTCCGGTTATATCCGGTTATTTGGTTATTTCGACCGGTTTGGGTTTGTTTGTATGTAACTCCTTTTTTTTTTTAACACGTTAAGTGCTCTTGGGTTTAAATTTAATCAGTCACTCTTTTTTTAGTATATTTTATATTCCATATTCTCCCTTAGAAACTAAAAATTGTGAAACTAGTTTGTTTTAATTGAACTCTACCCAATTTCAAACCGTTCTCTTCATTCGATTACTTTAAAATATGAAAATATTGGTATTAAAAGGAAAATTTGATTAGACACCAAAATCAAATTTATTATTCAATTTACAATGGATTTTTTTTTTAAAAAAAAAATATTTTCGTTATGTACGATAATTTAGTATTTAACTAAAAGGGAAAAAAAATGGACCAGCAATAATATACCGCGGAAAAGGAGAGCGCGTAGATTACGCGTCGGATATTTTCTTCACGCGACGATTCTTTACGTAAGCATCGACCGTAGGAGTGGCTCTCTGCCTATTAGTCAGCCACTCGGTTGCCTCGATAAATTTTAAATAAAATAAAATATTTTTTTGGTTTAAAAAATAAAATATTTAAGTATACAAAAGAATTTAATTGATCAAAGATTTCTTAAAATTTTATTCACTTCCATGAGCCTGTCTTTTGAATTACGTGCACGACATTTTCTATTATTTTAATTTTACTCCATTAATGTTACCAAAAAAACAATTATATCTATTCATTTCTATATTACTTTTCGTTCCTGGTATTCGTTTTTATTAAAATAATATTAAATTTGAATTTAGCCTCACTTTGCATTAAAGATTTAGATTAAAATGATTTAAAAGTATTCGAAACTTCTTCTTAAAGAACAAGAAAAGTAAATTTATAATCAGAAATGCCTTCAAAATTAATAAAAGAATAAAGAAGGCACGTCGTGGTGTGTGCATTAATTAGGCAACATAACATGTAAAAAGGAAAAGAGTAAACAAGAATATAAAATTTTTAATATTCACTTGCAAAGTTATATCCTTGATTTGTCCTTTTCTTTTTTGGTGGCCACTGCATTTTATAAAACAAAAATATAATCCATGATTGACACAAGATTATCATCTCTCACGTGATTAGTGCTCCTAATAAGCCTCTATTCCTATTTTATCAATTTCTAAATATTTATTATATATGAATATAGAGAATATAAAAGATTTAGTTTACTTATGTAAAATAAAATATTCTCACATTTAAACTATATCCGCTAATTTTGACATTCAGATTTTAATTTCATCTGTATTTAATTTCATGAATCTTTCTCCTAAAAAAATCAAGAAACTTAATCATTTTGAAATATTGTGAACAAATATATTAAGGGGAAATATTAACTTCAAAAGGTATTTTAAAAACAACACTATTATTTAAAAAGTAAAGCTTTTTTAATAAATTAAAATATTTTCAACAGGATACTAATTTTAAATTTTTCCCATACGTACTAAATAATTGAGAAAATATAAAATGGGAAGAAAAAAGAAAAATTTGCAAATTTTGATCAACTTGGTGTTACGTGGCACGTCGAGACAACGACATCACAAAGGTCCATAAATGGTCAAACCCTGCAACTGCATCTCACTCACCCTCCTCCCTCTCTCTCCCTCCCTCCCTCTCTCTACCTTCGGATTCAAAATATGGCGAATACGGACACTGAAACCGCCACCGTCACTAAACCCTCGCCGCCGGTGAGCACGGAGGAGCTGAAGAAGGTCTTCGACCAGTTCGACGCGAACGGCGACGGGAAGATCTCGGCAGTGGAACTCGGGAACGTGATGAAGGCGATGGGGACGCCGTACACGGAGGCGGAGCTGCAGCGCGTGATGGAGGACGTGGACGTCGACCGCGACGGCTTCATCAATCTCGACGAGTTCTCCGCTCTCTGCCGATCCTCCTCCTCCGCTTCCGAGGCCGCGGCCGAGCTCCGCGACGCCTTCGATCTGTACGACGCCGACCGCAACGGCCTCATCTCCGCTGCCGAGCTCCACCTGGTTCTCAACCGTCTCGGCATGTCCTGCTCCGTCGACGACTGCGTCCGGATGATCGGCCCCGTCGACTCCGACGGCGACGGAAATGTCAACTTCGACGAGTTCCAGAAGATGATGACGTCATCCTCCCTCATCGCCGGAAACGGAAACGCAGGTTCGGCTTAGGCATCGGATCTCCGGATTTCGGATCCTTGAAGGAATTTGAATATGCAAGGTTTTCGTACGATTAATAGGCTAACTTGGATCGATCTCTTGTTATATGGATGATGATGATGATGGAGACCTTAGATCTGCTTGATGTTATTCCAATTTATATGAACCACTTTTCTTTTTTCTGGGTTTAAAAAAAAACATGTTCGAGCCTAATTAGTTGGCGAGATAACTCGCCAACGGAGTTGTTCGTTGATGCAAAATACTTCTTTCTTTCTTAATTATTAAATTTTATATAATCGCGGTTTGGAATTAGACAAATAAATTGGGGAATTGAATATACAAAAAATGGTAGATATTTGTAATGAGTATAGATTCGGTATCAAATCAAATACCCAAAATTTCAGATAATATATCCGTGACTGTCCACCCTTTTACAATTAAATATTGGTGGTTGAATCTAATTTAATTTAATAGGTTAATGTAATTATAATACTGTTAATTAACTTAAATTTTGCTATTTAATGAATGATTAGTTGAAGGGAAAAAAAAAATGCTGATTTCGATCCCAGAAAAGGTCATTATTGGCGTTGAGTTACCCTTTAATTGATATTATCTATGTAGTCTTAAGTTTAAAACTTTTATTTAGAAAAGAATTAAAAATGGACTAATAATGCAACCGAAAAAAAATCAACCGTATAATTAATAGGCGATTTATTTGTGGTTGAATTTAATTATGGTGTTAATGTGAATTGAATCTTATTCGTTTTTCACGGAATTGAATCTTATTTAATTATTACGAAATTGCAGGTTTATTATTGAATTCGACCTTATTTATGGGACGATATTTAGGTGATATTCAATTTGTGTTGCCGACTCATCCTAAGTTTTAGGAAACACCCAATTTTTTTTTTACAAACATACAATTAAAATCTTAGTTATAAATTAATTAAATGAATTTTCATGTTTTATAAAGACAATATCTATTTTTTATTCATTTAATTATAATTAAATAACTAAAATATTTTTTTAATTGTATTTATAGATTACGAGAATGATTCTAAATAAAAACTTCTCTTCTTTTCATGGCGGTTTCTATTTCATTTGCACAAGAAACGTTTTATTCGACGCACCTGTATCTTCTTTAAATCTGAAATTTTCTCGAGATTTTTATTTGATATTAATACAATAAATATATTTTTAATGGGAATTATATATATATGGATAATTAAAATTTTTATTTATATATTTTAAAAATTGAATTAATTAATTTATTTAATAAAATTCACATCAAACTGAAATGTCCACCCCTCCTGCCGCTTCTTCTTCTTCTCCCCCTTCTTCGCAACTGCGACTCAGAAGCCTTCGTGTGATGAAACTGTGTCGTATGGATCAGTGAGAAATGGCGAATTGGATCTCATCTAAGCTCAAAGCCGCGGAGACGATTCTTCAACAGGTGAGAGACATCGAATCTCCTCTTCACTGTTGTTCGTTTGCTGTGAAATTTGAGGGTAATCTCGCGCAAACATTATTCGATTTTGAAACTATGGTCGTTCTTCTTGAATTTGGCGATTTCTCGCTCGGACTAACTTGATCCGAGGGTTCGACGGAGGGAAAGTTAACGGAGCGTGCTGGATTTGGGATTATCTGTTTCTGGTTAAATTCGAGATTTTATGCTTTGATTGAATCGAAAATGGGGAATGGTCAGTGAAATATTACGGATTTGGAAGCGATTTCGGTCTTGTTGGATTAGGTTCTTCGAGTTAAATCGACGGGATCCAGGGCTTGTATGTACCGAATCGACTCTGATTGGTCCACTAATCACGTCTTTAGATTTTCTCAGATACCAAATACAAACTCCTGTGTCGCTGTTTCAGTGCCTTGTATTCTTGGCATACTTGTAATTGAGTGGAATTTACTCGATTCAGCACCACATTCCCAATTTTCTTCACTGCTTCACTAATTTGTGATTTGAGCTAGGTTCACATAATCTCGAGATTTCATTAACTATTTTATGCTATGCATTTTTATGCCCTAAAAAAAACAGTTCGCTTTGCATTATTTTTTATTCATGGAACTTCAATTTGAATGTTTGTTAACTGGGATTCTGTAAATTGGGCTGTCCAGATCGATCAGCAGGCAGCGGAGTCTCTTCGGAAGAATGAGAAGTCTCAAACCCATGATGAGGTGTTTGAGACTCCTACAAAATCTGGAAGTCCCATTTCTTTGAAAGATCAGTTAAAGAAGAAGACACATGAGGGTAGTGATTATGATGGTGGATCTCAGAGAAGTTCCTTTGAGCAATCGCCAAGCTCCTTAAGCAACAGTAAAGCTTTTTTCAAGCCGGATCAACCCAAAGAAAGGACAGGTCAGACATCACAAAGTTTGACACAGCAAAAGCCTACACTCACTGACAGTGACTGGACGAAACTTCTGAGTACTCCTAATCCGGGAACAAGCACTTCCAAAGCTCGTACTACCAATGGGACATCTATGGCTCGTGGACTGAAGAAGGATGGAAAGAGACATGGGAACTCGGGATCAAATCTCTTGACATCCGGTGGAAAGAAGAGTGAGAGGAGTACTGATGATGCGATTGAATCCAGAGGTAGGCTCCTTAGAAAGCCGAATGAGAAACCGAAAGATGGGGAAAACTCTAGCTCTTCGGGTTTTGGAATGCAGACTGATTCTAAAACCTTTGATGGTGGACATGTGGAACATGCAGACGCTACTCAGGACATTTCGATAAAGCCAAAACATAAGGAGAGTGAGAATGATGTCAATTCTGAGCCTCCTCCTCCAAAAGACTCCAGAAGATCATTAGACAAGACTCTTCAGGAAGCAATGCCAAATGTAGGAAAAACGGATGGTCGTGGATCCAGTCGAGCAGCTATCTGGGGGAAGCAGATGAAGAGAGAAGTCTCACGGGGCACCGTTTCTGAGGATCTACAGAGGAAGGATTCTTCGTTGTTAAGTGTTGAGACTGAATCAGATTCCGATTCTGATTCAAGTACCGACTCTGAGAGGGAACGTGAAAGAGAGGAGCGAAGGAGGAGGAGGGAGAAGATTTTTGCAGAGAAAGTTGCAGCTAAAGCTGTAGGGGCCATTAAAGAACGAGAGAATGTGGTAGCAAGACTAGAGGGCGAAAAACAGAGTTTAGAGAAAATACTTGAAGAACGAGCTAAACAACAGGCCCAAGAGGTAATTATAGTTCATGTTCTCCTTTTTATGTTTTTGCATCTTATTATAGAGAAGGTGGTATAATTGTCAAGGTTCATCATGGACTTATAGAGGGTTTCATCTGGGAAAAATACTTGCATGCTATTTTATTAAATGGTGGGATTCAAATTGGGGAATGACTTTCATGTGGTTTGCAGTTTGTGCCGATTTACCCCAGCTGCATGTATATATATATATACATGTGTATATATATATTTAAGACTTATCTTCTCGTTTGTCTAGGCTTCCGAGTTGCAGACCACTACGATGGAAACTATGGAAGCCGTCGAGCTTGAAAAGCAAAAGCACAATAATACTAGAATGGAAGTTCTTGCACGCTTGGCCAGACTGGAGGTATTAACAATTAATATGTTTCAGATGGATGCTTAACTTTTTATGCAGACATTTCAATTTTTGTTTGTCTTGCCTTTTTGTGAGTTACTCTAGAGGATTCGGGTTTCTGGTTCTAAACTTCTACTTTGGAAATTTACTATAGACTGCAAATGCTGATCTTGCAAGATCCCTCGCTGCGGGTCAGAAGAAACTTGAAACACAGGTATAAAGATTTCTCATCCATAGACTATATATCAACGTGAAAAGAGAAAAGAAAAAGATGCATTCTCCTTGTTCTGTTGGAAATATGCTGGCATTGACGAATCTAAATAGTGAACGAAAGGTAAATAAAGGACAAGTGAAAGGATTGTGTTAGTTTGTTTATCAAAACAGAAGCTTCATTGAACTTCTTAATCATTTTCGTTATGTCAAGCTCTTCAAACCAACTTCTAGAACGGTATTTATTTTCTGATCTCTCTCTTGTCTGATGTGAATCAGATAGATCAGGTGGCAGAACTCCGTGAACACGTTGAGCTGAAAGAGTCTGCTCTTGAAGGTAGAGCTTCTATAGTCCTCCGCTGTGCTAAATTTGTCTTAGCTAGTGTTCATCATATTTGGAATAAGCACTTCTCTATTATAAAACTCTGCTGAAGATATGTGTTCTTGGCCTTGTAGAATTGAAGCGGAAAATTTCCAATATCCACCAAAGTGGTCAATATTTAAATGAAGTGAGTTCGATTTCCTTTAATTTTACTGTTTCAATTTTCAACATGGCAACATTTTCTTGTTGATCTGAAAATCATGACATTTACATGTGGGAAATATGTAGATAGCTGCTGCTTCAGGAGGATCTAGGTTCGAACATGAGATGCTCGAAGCAGAGTGCTCTTTGCTAACTGATAAAATCGGACGGTTGCAAGATAAGGTTAGCTCCTGTGGTTGTGTGCTGTGCTCAAGTTACTCTTCAGCAGGGTTTTCATGCAACAATTAAACACTATGTATTTGTGCTTGTATAAATGTCTTGATCCTACCCTTGCCACAAATCTCCATGAAAGCTTAGTAATTCTAACTATGTGCACAACAATTATATGGACATATTGGTTGATATGGTTTGTCTCCATTCGTTTCGGGTTGTCTGCTTGTTTGAAAAGTTATGTTTTGAGGCTTGTTCCGTAATTGTATCGTTTCTTTCTGGTTTGATTTTGAAAAAACCCAGGCAGATAAGCTGGGAGATGACATTGAAATGATGCGGAAAGAAATTGAAGAACCCACCGAAGTGGAAATTGAACTTAACCGAAGACTTAACCAGCTGACCGACCATCTCATTCAGAAACAATCCCAGGTATGCCTTTTCATGTTTGTATTCTCATGAGCTAACGGATTCTAAACACCTTGAGAAAGGTTACCGAGTCGAAGAATAGTCGATCTGGACGATGAAATTAAGGTTTCTCGAGAAACTTCAATGTTCTTGCCGCTGTCTTTTACACTGTACTTTTCTCCTAACTAACAAATGTCATCGGACATAGAGCAAGATTGCTGTTTTACAGAATGGTTGATTTTCTAAGATACTTGTGATGATTTTACCCTGTTCATAGGAGCTGAATGAGAATATTCACAGAGAGTGAAGAAATGTTTCATAGTTCACATGCATTGTATTTGGAATTATTCATAAGATTTGGTCCGATTTTCTTCCATTTATCAGGTAGAAGCTCTTTCCTCGGAGAAGGCTACCTTATTTTTCAGAATCGAGGTACGTCAACACCCTCCAATTTGACATTCACATCTGAAGAATATACAATTTCATAATGTTCAACATTATCCGATTCTAAACCCTAAACCCGGAAAACACGATCTATTTGTGATGCTTTTACAGGCCGTCTCGAAACTTCTGGAAGAAAACAACGCGATGTCTACATCCGAGGCCTCATCCAAAGATCTGGAAGCAGGGGAGTGGAAATTCTCAGAATCAAAACTTCGCCCTTCTCTGCAAGAGAAAATCCGATCAGGTAAAGAACATTTGGGATGGATGGTTAGGCAGATGAACGCAATATTCGTCTCGGGAGCTGTATTCTTGAGACGAAACCCGACGGCAAAGATCTGGGCTGCCGTTTATGTCATCTGCCTTCACCTCTGGGTACTGTACATATTGTTCTCTCACTCCAATGAATCGTCGAGTGAAGGCAAATCGGGCGCTGTTATCTCCTTGGAGAACTTTGGTAACACTTCCCATCAATAAAAGTTTGCTATGTTTTGATTTCTCTATGAGAGTAGGGGATTATGTGTAATGTTTGGACAAAACACCGTGCCATTTATTTTGTTGGTGCGGGAAATGCATACATATATAGCGAACGTATCCATGTATACGCAAACATACCATGCATATATTGATATTTTTATATTGAATTCTGTTCGGACTTCACAGCGAAATAACTCAAGCAGGAGCAATGGAGACTTTATCAACCTCAACTACATACTCTAATGTCGCAGATGGCGGAATTTGCAGTCCCGGTCCCAAATCCGACCCGTTTTCTCCAAACCCTAGCGATGGTGGAACGATAACTCGGCGTTTACCTCCTGCTTTCATCGATCTCAGTACGTATTCTAAGCCTTGGCACATTCCTTTAGTATATGGCCTCGAACCCATCACTAGGACAAGAGGCTTCTTGTCTTTGCTCTCGAACGTGTCCAGGAAAACCTCTCCTGTACCTTGGACCTGTCCCTTCAGATCAATCACCACTAAGTCTCCCGGCCGTGGATTGGCTCCTCCTCCAACTCTTAGATCGTAATACCTGTGCGGTTTGAATCCCGTTCAGTCTCTGTGTGTGGGTGTGTGTAAGTCTGTACGTATCGAAGATGGCAAAACATAAGCTTGATGTTCGGTATCCTTCGATATGTAAGAGCAGTTACGGGCTAGGGTTAGGGCGGATACAGACGGTGAAGATGAGCACCAGATCCTGTCCCATGAACTACACTGCTGTCCAAAGTGAACTAAAAGAAGTATGTCTACATGTTCTTCAGCAAACACAACTACCCAAATGTCACAGAGAATCAATACAACTGTTCTTTGATGTCGGAGAGGAAGCATACCTTACACCATTCGGCAACACGATCTCTTCCTGCTTGTCTACATCTCTGCCAACACAAATGAAGAACAATTAAGTTTCAGAGGAAAAAGACACGAAATCCAGATTCTTCAGTTGTCGATTGCACAAAACGAATATTCCAACCTCCTAATCCTCAGAACCAGAATTTCAAGCAAACCTTGTGTTAGCTTTTTCCTTGGAGACCTCAAGCCTTGTCTTGATCTGCTCGGAGACGACTCCGACGGCGAGAAACGCCGCCCAAGCAAGTCCTGCTCCGATTCCGAACCGCCGCGTCAGCGACGAAGCCACCCAATCCGTCGTCTCAACGCTCGTCTTCCTCTTCTGCTGCTGCGATCTTATCGGCGCCGGAGATTGCTGCTCCGTCGCGGCGGAGCTCAACGGATTCGACGGCGGAGGAGACTCCGGATTCGGCGGCGGCGGAGGAGAAGAGGAGGCGAAGAGGTGGTTGTGGAGCTTGTTCAGTGGCTGAGAGTGAGAGATGAACGAAGCCGAAGTAGCGGCGAAGAGGGAAGACATTTTTCGGATTAGATATTTAGTAATTGTTTTGAATTAAGAATTTCATATATCCAAAAAATTGGACTCACCCTATCCACTTGGGGCATTATCAAAAATAAAAACGAAATACCTCTAATTGCAATGTAATGGACCATTTCTTTTTCCGAAATTACTAGATTGCTTCTGTAATTGTTTTTTTTTTTAAATTTTATTTAAGAAAAAAGTGGAATGGATATATTCCGTCCATAGCTATATCTAAAAATTAGGGTATAAATTAGAATTTATCTTTTTTAGACTATAGTGTCTTAGAAAATTTCAGTTTCATTACTGCATAATCATGACGGAATTTTGCCTAGAAATCTCTAAAATTTAGCAGTAGCAATATCTTTTTTACATCTTCGCTTTTGCAAAAAACAAACACAGAGAACATTATTATGACATTATTTATTATTACAGAACGTAACAGAGCACCCGCCCACACAAACAAACAAAAAAACATAACACAACTTCACTCTCTCCTTCTTTCTGCAACACTTCTGATCATAAGCCGCATGAAACACAGGAACCCCAACAACAACAACAAAAACCTCTAAACTCTTTTCCCATCCATATTTCTCTTTTTTTTTTTCAACGGATTGAATCTGTGGAACTGGTCAGTCTTCGTGCCAAAAATGTCTTCGCCATTGTCGTCCTCCTCTCTCGTCACCCTTTCCCTTCCTGTTCTGTCGGTAACGAAGAAGAAGAGCTTGGAGCTGGTTTCGGTATATTCGGACCAGTCGCAGGTTTCTGCAACTGCTTCAGACACGCCATGATCTCTCCGAAACTCGGCCTTAACTTTGGATCCCTAAAGAAAACATATATACACATACAAACATGCATACCCAAGTGATCAAATTCGGTTCTTGGTTCCAATTTTTCAGAGATTTCATTGAGACATGATCCAGCAAAATGCTTTTGGTTTATGGGGTTTGAGGCATATGAGTAAAACCAATCTTCCATTTTGCTGATATAGTGACAGAAAAAACCCGGAAAAAAGGGGGTAATGAACTCACGTCTGCCAACATTTCCCGATGAGATCTGCCATTGCGGGATCAATAAAATCAGGGATTTCAAGACGACGGTGCTGAAATCCGACCGCTCCAACAACTTGCATCGGGTTCATCTTCCCCCACGGTTGCTGCAGCGTGAAAAGCTCCCATAGAATAACCCCGAAGCTATACACATCGCACCTGTTTTCATACAACGGCTCTTTGAAATGACATCGAGAAAGGAAAAGAGGCAAGAGGGATGGGTTTTTTTCGAGAACTGATGGACAGAAAGAAAAACAACATACTTCTCGTCAGATGGTTCGTTTCTAAGCACTTCGGGAGCCATCCATTCGGCCTGAACAGATGAAGGAAAAAAGCATGAGGGCTTTGTTTAGAGATTGATGGATCAGATGTTGCTAAGAGAGAATATATGTATATATATCTCCGAACCACTTACGGTTCCCGCTGTTGAACGGGATGAGAGGTACGTGCTGTGCTTCATTCTGGACAACCCGAAATCGCATACCTGAAAAAATATTTCGGGTGATATGAATACCAACTGGCAGAAAAGACTTTTTTTGAAGAGGAAGATACCGACCTTGACCACCCAGTTTTTATCAACGAGAAGGTTCGGGGATTTCAGATCGCGATGAACAATCACTGGATTGCAGCTGTGCAAATAGTTCATTCCACGAGCCTGAAAGGTCGGAAAATCCATAAGAAAAAACACTTTGGATTGCAGATAATGGCGGAAAAGGAGAAGAATTATACGGCATCGAGGGCCATCCTCAGACGCCTCCGCTCATCTAACTGATTATGAGTCCGGTGGATTAACCTATACAAGCTACCTCTGCCAAAAAAAAACAAAAAAAAAACTCTTCATCAGTTTTCAGGAAAAAAAAAAAACAGAACTGTGAAAGTCGAGTTAAAAAAACATACAGTTATGAGCCATTAGGATATGTAGAACATTCAACAGTACATATCGAGATGCATAAATGGAAGGTCGTGAATTGAGTTTGAAACTTTGTGGATCGTAAGAACGAAAAGCTCAAGTCTCGGAATACCTGGGAAGAAACTCCGTAACGATTGAGAGATTCGGTGGACGGGTTATGGCTCCCATGAAGAGTACAATGTTCGGATGCCTGAGCTTTTTCATGATTCGGACCTTTGCATCAAATTGCGGTCGAAACAAGAAACGTTACATGCATATAAAAAGGGTTTTTCGGTATATAATCACAATATAAAACAGCATTTGAAGACTTTTTACCTCACTTTTGAATTCTTCTAGAGCTTCCCCTATAATTTCTTGATCTAGGAACTTCTTAACTGCCACCTCCTACCGATCCAAAAAGGTTTTGATAACGCTTTTAAGTAATCAAGAACCGGTAATAAGCAATGAAAAACATCAAGATACTCACAGTTCCATGCCAATCTCCACGATACACCTCTCCATATGACCCTGCACCACAAAACAGGTAAGCCGATCTATACATATATACATATAAATATATATATTCTCTGTAGCACTATGTTACACCAAATGATATAGCAGAGATCATAAGTCAGTAATACCGAGCCCGATACGCTCGCCCGAAGCGATTTCTTCCCACGAAATCTCGCAATCAGCCACATCATCCAGCATGACGTCAGATTTTGGAGTTTCATGGCTAAAAGATCTGTCAGATGCTCTTTCGCCTCCCGAATTCGGTCCGTAATGCAATTCCCCACTACCTCGTGGCTCACGTCCTCCAGAGCCAGCAGACCCATCACTGTGTGAGCTCTGCTCAAGCTGCTTGGTCACGGCAGCAGCAGTTGCTACAACTGCAGCGGCAGTGGCTGTGGCGGCGGCAGTGACTGTGGCTGCAGGAAGTTGTAAGACGGAGGAATCAGAGCCTGCTGACTTGGCGGCAGCAACCACCATAGAAGATGCAACGACGGCAGCTGCAGCTGCAGCAACTGGCACCATAGTGTCTTAGAAAAATTCAGTTTCAT